GGTCGGTTTCTATGCCAGTTGGCGTCAGAAGCTCCACCTCCTAGGCAGCCATTGGTTCTTCACAGCACCCACATTTGGTTCTGATTGGTTGGTTCCTATGCCAATCAGTGTCTCTGGACCTATCAATGGGGCCTGATCTGAAAGGCAGGGCTGATCAGCAGCCCTGGTGGAGGCCTGGAGAGAAATGGAGGCGTGGCTGCTGGCCAGACTGGGAGAGAAATAGAGAAGCAAGTGCTGATCAAAAGCTGCCACAGAGGCAACGGATCAGTCCCTGCTTCTCTCTTCAGGCCTCTCTCTGGCCCTGATTCACAGCCCCCTCAGCAGTCAGTGCTGGGGCACCGCGTCTGCAGTGCAAGCAGTCAGCGCTGGTTTGCCACGGCAACTCAGCGCTGACTGCAGGACTGACTTCCGGTTGGTCGAGCCTCGGTCATTACTGGTCATTACGAACCAGGGTTTTTATATATTAGGATGTTTCTATCTCTCTCTCCCTCTCTCTCCCACTCTCTCTAAAAAAGTCAATAAAAATATATTTAAAAAACTTTACCCTTCAAAAGTGTGCAATTCATTATTTTTAATATAATCACAAAGTTGTGCAACTATCATTACTAATTTAGAATATTTTCATCACCCAAAAAAGAAATCCTGTTTCTGTTAGTAGTCATTTTCATCTTTGAAGTTTAACATTTCCTCCCTAAAGCACACTTACCCCCTTTCCTTTCCCCATCCTTTCCATTCTCCAATCAGACGTAGATCAGAATTCATTGTTATGACTTACTATTGTTTGCAACTGAGCCTTCTGATATTGTGACATTTCCTTTCTTTTGCTTTTTTTTTGTGTTAAAAATTGCTATTTTATTTTTTGCCTTTTCTCTCCATTTGTCTATCATTATTATCCTTAATTTTTTGTTGTTAGCCTCTCATAATCTCTCTCTAAACAGTTAAACATTGGTGATTCATCAGTTCAAATTTCCCCTCGAGCCTTCAGGTCCTGCTCTACTTTGAAATGGTTTCTTTCTAGGCCTGCAGTGTAGGTGACATCTGGAGACCTTTTTTTTAACTATCATCCTGGGGGATTAGTCAGTTATTTAACTCTGGATTGATCTAAATGTCTTATCTCTTTTCTCTTTCCCTTTTAATATATCTGTTCCTTCTTTTAGATCTGGAAGATTTCCTCAACTTTATCTTCCAACTCTTCAATTTTTGCTTTTCTAAATAAAAAAAATGACAGTTTCCAGAATACTTTCTTATTCTTGAAATATTCTTTTAATATTTTTCATGGGTACAATAGCTTTTATATTTCTAAGGATATTAGCAATAATGTCCTGGGCCTTTCAAGTTCTGTTTTTCTCTTTTCCAGCCACTTGTCTTTTATATTAGAAGTTTTCCTTAGATGATCCTTCGTTGTACACATTTAAGAGGAGGATGATTGTACAAAACTGTTTGGAAGCTCTGTGCATATACTACTACAAGGGGTAGTTGCTAACATTTGAGAATTTTCTGAATGGCAGGCTGAGCTAAGCAGTCTTCTTACATTATCTTAAGTGATTTTTACATTGGTTATATGAGGTTCTAATTTCACAGATGAGGAACCTTGAGGCTTAGATGATATAACCAGAAAAAGGGGAACCAGATTCAAACATGGATCTGTCTGCCTTCGTGATTCTTTTATTCATCCTATTCTCTTTCCCACCTTCCTCCCAGTAAATGCTTCACAAATACCAGGAAATCTCTTGAGAACTTTGAAGTCAGGTAGAAGCAAGATAGACAATGTAATCATTCAAACACATGATTGAAGCAATTACAGAAATGTGCTGAGAAGAAATGATGAAAATGATTTTTGAGGAAGGCTGGGGAATGGTTTAAGTGGATGTATTTTTTTTTTTTTAATTTTTTACTAACTTCAGTTTCAGGGAGCTAAGTACATAACTTGGAAATACTAATATTTATGTGAGTGAGATAGACAATGTAATCATTCAAACACATGATTGAAGCAATTACAGAGTAACATGCTAAATTGAAGGAAGTAGTATGGGTGATTCTATAAAATAATAAGGAAAGTGGAAAGTATTATTTGGGGATATATTTGTGTGTGTGTAACAGGCCATGTAAAGTCACTCATCTAAAGTCTGCCAAATGGTGAAGTCTGTCAGTTGAAATGGTGCTGTCCCTAAATACTGATACATAGGTATTAGAAATACCTGTCAGCGAAAGTCCATATGCATTACCAGTTAAATATTTTTAACCAAAAGCAATCACTGTGACTATATTTTAAAGATGGTAAGAAGCCCTAGCCGGTTTGGCTCAGTGGATAGTGTCCCCCCTGCGGACTGAAGGGTCCCAGGTTCAATTCCAGCCAAGGGCACATGCCTGGGTTGCGGGCTTGATCCCCAGTAGGGGGCGTGCCAGAGGCAGCCAATCAATGATTCTTTCTCATCATTAATGTTTCTCTCTCTCTCCCTCTCCCTTCCTCTCTGAAATCAATAAAAATATATTTTTAAAAAAGATGGTAAGAAGATGCAAAATATAATTTAATGAAAGTATTTTTATTTAAGTGACAAAGATTTACGTCTCTTATTAGAACTATCCTTTCATTTTTACAAAAAGAAATATATCCTATATATGTGTACTTGCATAATTTGTCTTGTATAATTATTTTTCTTGTTGAATTAATTATTATAGCTTGCTAAATAACTCTTGTGAAGTAAGCATAAAGGAGTATAATTAACTGGAGCTACAGCAGTGATAGTACAATAGGAGGCAGATGTGCCTACTGAAGGATAAAAATAATTACTTGAGAAATAGTAGAGTTAGAGTATTTCTGTGATAAAACAATTTCTAACCTTTTGTTTCAATATTCACAGCATTCCACCATGAAATGTTCAGTTATGGCTAAGAGCCCTTTTCCCTAAAAAGAGTAACCTTGTTATTTAGTGAAGTGCCTATTCACATTAACTTCAGGGTTAATATTTTGAGCTTTTTCTCATTATAGGCATATCCTGGATTCTGTGGTGAGAGGAATATGTTGTACATTTTTTGTTCTAAGGACTTATGGTTCTTTATTTTTAATTTAGGAAAAGCACAGAGGCTTAAATATTACTAAGTTTGGAAGTATAACTGTCTTTTATCTTTAGAAACATTGATTTCATATAAATGAAAACTAGTAAGACATAAAAAGGTTTGTGTCTCAGCACTTTGCAATGTAAGCTTCTACAAGACAGCAACTGTTTTATTATTATGTATATGTGTGTGTTTAATTTACTAAATTTTCTAGAATGTTGAGGAGGCACTATATAGACATACCCACAAATTCTAGTGGCTTAACCTAATCAAAGTTTATTTCTTCCTCACTCCTCAGTCTAGAGAGGGTATTCCAGGTTGACTGTCTTTCCATGTGGTCATTCAGGGGCCCAGACACCCTTTACATTATGACTGTGCCCTCTGCATTCTAGAATCCACTCCATGCAGCTGCTGTGGAGAAGGCATACTCATTTATTATCCATTTTATTCTGGAAGTGGCACAGGTTACTCTCACATTCCAGTGGTAAGGAGTATCATATGGTTCCATCTCAATGCATACATGGTGGCAGTGGTGGTGGTTGGATGGGGTGGGGATAAGGGACTTCTTGCTACACCTCCCAAGATTAACATTATGCTTTGGACAGGGAGCATGAATCTTTGGTGGTCAGTTTAATTCTCTACTAAAAAATATTACTTCTTCCTGTATACACACACACACAAATAATACTGTTCTGTTGGTAATATTAGCTACCTCTAGATCAGGGGTGGGCAAACTTTTTGACTCTAGGGCCACAATGGGTTCTTAAACTGGACCGGAGGGCCGGAACAAAAGCATGGATGGAGTGTTTGTGTGAACTAATATAAATTCAAAGTAAACATCATTATATAATGATGTTTTTTTTTAGTTTTATTCATTTCAAACGGGCCGGAGTTTGCCCACGGCTGCTCTAGATTGTCAGAAGATAGGAGGCAAGTGATTCCTTGCCACGAATTATTTACCCTATTCCTGAATTTCTCATTTCATTTTAAACCACCAAATATTTAACCAGTTAGAGTCATTTAACCTTACAGTCATTGAACCATAGTGTTTTAGAACTAGCTGAGATTTTAGTGCAATCTCTTCATTTGATAAATTACAGAATAGACTCAGAAAAATGGAGAGACATTCCTAAAGTCACTTAGGGTCAGAACTAGGAAAAACTAGTTTTCTAACCTCCACTCTAGTACTATGTCATCTTGGAAGCATCTTTTTTTTTTTTTTTTTACAAATTCTAATCCCCTAAATTAATACAAATTGCTCCCCCAGATTTCTTTCCTTTCAATAACCTCCTAAGATACCCTGGGGGGAGGAGGGGGATTTTAATTACCATAGAAAAGAATGAGTGATCTGAAGAGCATTTGTCTATTGTGATTTTGTGTGCTATAATGGAGCACCATGTTGATTTTGCATACCCAAGGAAGAATGGCCCTTGAATTGGAGGGGCTGCAAATAAAGGGGGGAAGGATGCCTAGTCAAGTGGGACCTATTTCACAATTTTGCCTAGGGCCTGCTCAGACTTTGGGAAGTGTTATGCCCAGATTTCAAGATTCCCAAGAAGCCACACAGGGAGCCAGCCAGTCCGATGCAAAAGCAAAGAGTCTTTATTTT